AATTGCGATGTGCCATGCCGCGATTGTGCTCTATAGCGTTGTGGATCGAGTCCTCCTTTTGCACACGAGTCCTGACCGAACTGATTCGGATCTTACGCTCGAGCTGCCTGAGCACATAGTATGCCCCAGAGCTAATTGACAGGGGGACATGCCAGGAGGACGCGCCGCGGAACGTCCCAAGGGACGCGCCAGGCGACGTGCCTGGGGACGTGCCATGGGGACGCACCGCGGGACGTGCCAAGGGGACGCGCTACGGAGCCTGCCAGTGGACGTGCCACGGGACGTGCCAGGGGACGCGCCGCGCGACGGGCCAGGGGAATTCGCCACGGGACGCGCCACGGAACGTGCCAGGGAACGTGTCAGGTTGAAATGCTGAGTGTTTCGATATTGATGTACCGTGCCGAAAACTGTGCTGTGCTGCGCCGTGCTGAATTGCGATGTGCCATGCCGCGATTATGCTCTACAGCGTTGTGGATCGAGTCTTCCTTTTGCATCCGAGTCCTGACCGAACTGAGCTGGATCTTACGCTCGAGCTGCCTGAAAACATAGCAATTGCCCCAGAGCTGACAGGGGGACATGCCAGGAGGACGCACCGCGGAACGTCCCAAGGGACGCGCCAGGGGACGTGCCATGGGGACGCACCGCGGGACGTGCCCAGGGGACGCGTTACGGAACCTGCCAGTGGACGTGCCACGGGACGTGCCAGGGGACGCGCCGCGCGACGGGCCAGGGGAATTCGCCACGGGACGCGCCACGGAACGTGCCAGGGAACGTGTCAGGTTGCAATGTTGAGTGTGTCCATCTTGATGTACCGTGCCGAGGGCTGTGCTGTGCCTGGGCGACCTGGACACGTGAAAACAAGCGTTTCGCTGGAGGCATCATCAACACATCCTCATGCTAGACATCCTGCTGGGCAACCTGGACACGTGCAAACAAGCGTCTCGATCGAGACTTCCTCAACACATCCTCATGCTAGACATCCGCCTGGGCGACCTGGACGCGTGAAAACAAGCGTCTCGCTCGAGACTTCTTCAACACATCCTCATGCTAGACATCTGCCTGCGCAACCTGGACGCGTGAAACCAAGAGTCTCGCTCGAGACATCCTCAAAACCAGGGCACGTAAAACAAAGACAAGCATTTCATTGGAGAGATCCTCTGAATTCTGGTCCCCAGGAGAGGACAATCTATAACTCAAAACAAGCGCTTCGCTCGAGAGATCCTCAACAATTTCTGCAAACCAGGCTTTTCGCTCGGGACATCCTCAAATTGTAATTCGGTGCCCTTACTCGACCTCGTTATGTATCGCCGATTAGATTCGCCAGCCCCACCGCCGTCGAGGCCAGGGGGAAAACCTCTAAAAGAGAACCTTGGGCCAGAGCACCGGGGAAAATAACAGCATGTATCCTAGCGACTGACCCAACCATATGCAATTGTGAGTACCGTGTTGTGGCACCGCTTTCGGTGGAACTCCCTATGGGTCCACGAACCGAGTGAGGGGCGCGTCAAAATGGGGCGGCACCGCCATGCGAACCCCGCCATTGGGGCTTGCGGTGGAATTCCCTACGGGCCACGAGCCGTGTGAGAGGTGCGCCAACATGGAGCGGCGCCGCCATGTGGACCCTGCCACTGGGGCCTTCGGCGGAGTTCCTCCCTATGGGGCCACGAACCCTGTGAGGTGTGCACCAACATGGAGCGGCGCCGCCATGTGTACCCTGCCACTGGGGCCTTCGGCGGAGCTCCATATGAGGCCACGAACCGTGCGAGAGGTGCGCCCCGTGTACCCTGCCGTTGGGCCTTTCGGCCAATCTCCCTGTGGGGCCACGAGCCGTGTGAGGGGTGCGCCAAAATGGGGCGGCGCCGCCATGTGGACCCTGACATTGGAGCCTTCGGTGGAGCTCTCGATGGGGCTACGAGGCGTTGCACTGGGTGTGCCGAAGCACAGACATGCGGAGGGCAGAGGCAGGGATGGGAGGAGGGAGGAACGGGGAGGAGGAGGAGGAGGAGGAGGAGGAGGAGGAGGAGGAGGAGCAGGAGCAGGAGCAGGAGCAGGAGCAGGAGCAGGAGGAGGAGGAGGATGAGGAGGAACGCGGGGTGCTGTCTCTTCAAAACGAGGACCCACCACCACAGGATGGTTGGGATGAACGGCTTGTCCCCCGACCTGATCCCGATTTAGAATATTTTAGGAGGCGCATTTGGGCCATCTTGGGGACGTCTTGGGGCGGTCGTCTTAGGGCCCTCGTGGGCAATCTAAAGACCATGTTGGCCCATCTTTGGGTGATCTTTGGGGTCTCGGGGCGGTCTCGGACGTCTGGAATATCGAACAAGCAGTATTTTTGAGTTGCACACGAAGTTGACCAATTTCAACTACTTTATACATTATCCGGGCGAAGCATCCAAACACATGCAGTTGTGAGTACCGTCGTTGTACGCACCGCATTCGGTGAAGCTCCCCATGGGGCCACGAAACGTGTGAGGGGTGTGCCACAATGGGTGCGGCGGCCGCATGCGAGCGCTGGCATCTGCGCCTTCGGTGAAGCTCCCTGTGGGGTTGAGAAACGTGCGAGGGGTGTGCCCAAATGGGTGCGGTGGCCGCATGCGAGCGCTGGCATCTGGGCCTTCGGTGAAGCTCCCCATGGGGCCACGAAACGTGTGAAGAGTGTGTCAAAATGGGCGCGGCGGCCGCATGCGAGCGCTGGCATCTAGACCTTCGATGGAGCTCCTCATGGGGCCACGAAACGCGTGAGGGGTGTGCCAAAATGGGTGCGGCGGCCGCATGCGAGCATTGGCATCTGGGCCTTCGGTGGGGCTCCCTATGGGGCCACGAAACGTGGGATGGGGGTGTGTCAAAGTGAGGGGAGTGAGGAGGAGGAGGAGGAGGAGGAGGAGGAGGAGGAGGAGGAAAAAGAGGAGAAAGAGGAGGAGGAGGAGGAGGAGCAGCAGCAGCAGCAGCAGCAGGAGGAGGAGCAGGAGGAGCAGGAAAAGCAGGAGGAGGAGAGAAGAGGAGGAGGAGGCGCGTTTTTGTTTTTGTTTTTTTTCAAAACGAGGACCCAACACCGCATAATGGTTTGGGAAACAATTGGGGGGACTCCTGGGAGTCTTGCTTGAATCGTCGCGGGGCGTATCAAGGGGTTCTGGAGCTTCTTGGGGCTCTCCTGGGGCCAGTTGAGCGCCCTCGTGACCTCTGCCCAGCAAGGACGTCCAGGAGGCCCAGAAGGCCGAGGAAGCGCTCTGCGGAGGCCGAAATCCATGGGGGGTCACATGTCCAGCGTGCCCCGCCTTGCAGAGATATACACATTGGGACACACGCGCATACACACATATCAGATGTGCTTACCCCCAGCACCCGATTTTTTCCTGGCGGGTGAAGAACGGTATGGCACAAACTATTCCGCGATCGGGAGTTTGGCTTGGAAGTGTATACCTTTATGGTGGCAGGTGGGAGCATCAACTTCCCAGCCGCCCTGGGACAGACAGGCGCTCCCGATCGCGGAACAGTTTGCGGAGGGCGCATTCGTGAAGGAATCTGCCCAGGTGGCTTCAGAACCTGGAGGTCAGCGGTGATCTCCGTGTTCCCCGCATTTTATAGTCGGGTCGCTGAAGAAGGAACCCTTTTCGTCGGCTCCGCGTTCCTTAAGTGTTTCACAGCTTGCCTCAGGTTTTCCTCGTGCTTTCGATGGGAAGTCGAAGTTTAACCTGTGGAACAACGAGGCCTCGTTCCTTATTTGGGGCTCCCTGGGTCAACGCCCCGACTGCATCCAATGGTTCCTCATCCGGTGCCCCCATCGCATTTTGTGCCGTCCTTCGTCCAGCAGCTCCCGCGGCTGCGGACGCCTGGGCCGCTGCCCCCCACCCCGCAGGAGGCCTTCGCCCGGTCCGACGCCGACTCCAGCCACGACGGCAGCACGGGCTCGAGCTATGGGCGGAGCTGGGCGGACCAGTCGGAGGACGCTTGGCCAACCTCGACGACGACGACGACGACGACGACGACGACGACGACGACGACGACGACGACGACGGCGACGGCGACGACGACGACGACGACGACGGCGACGACGACGACGACGGCGACGACGACGACGGCGGGCAGCGACGACGACGACGGCGGCGGCAACGACGACGACGACGGCGGCGGCAACGACGACGGCGGGCAGCGACAACGTCGACGGCGGGCAGCGGCAGCGACGGCGTCGGCGGCGGCGGGAGGACACCTGGCCGGACGAGCAGGAGGACGCGGCGAAGCGGAGAGCGTTCGGCGGAGCCACGCGGAGCGCTCGGGCGCTGCCGCCGCGGAGCCCGAGCGAGCCTCCGGCGGGGGGCACCGCGGCGGGCGCGGGGCACCAGGCCAGCCAGGAGGAGGAGGAGGAGGAGGAGGAGGAGGAGGAGGAGGAGGAAGACGAGGAGGAGGAGGAGGAGGAAGAGGAGGAGGAGGAGGAGGATGGGGGGTGGATTCGGAGTAAGGAGATGGAGGGAGGAGGGAGGAGATGGAGGGAGGAGGAAGGAGATGGAGGAGGAAGGAGGAAGGATCTGGAAGGAGAGGGATAGAGAGGCATGCGGATATGCGGTGGAGGAGGGAGGAGGAGGACCTGGACGCCGTGTGACATAGCACATGGGTACTACACGTATTGTACGAGTTGCAGTATACAAAGAACTATCCGGCATAGCGGACAAATGGTTTGACATAATTCAGTTTTACGTGATATCGATTACATGATTCAGCTAAGAGTCAAAGACCTACATTTACCGTTGCGGATTTTGGTTCCAACCATGGTTACCGTGTGAAGCGCCGTTTTTCCTGCTAGCATGGTCCAGCACCACGCTACGTAGCACCTGCCCCACATCGAGCAGCACGACAAGGGCATAATGCACAGTGCCCGCTCCATACCTGGCATGGGAGCCGTATGGCATACTTCAGGTAGGACCACGAAATGGCACTGCTAGAGGGCATACAGCATGCCAGTCCCATACCTGGAATGGGAGCCGAAAGGCATACCTCAGGTAAGGGCCAGACGAGTTACCAGACAGTATACCTTCGATTCCATTACCATGCTTACTTGTCGCAGCAGGTACCGTGGCAGCCAGGCTCAAACATTTCATTCGTACAATGGAATCTGCTTTCATCGCCCTACATAGTCGCGCCATGTTCGCAGGACAGGTGCCATACATTCCGACAGCGACCGACACGTTTGTTGCACAGACGGACAAGTGGGCAAACGCCACCTATGTTGTCTACCTACCTTCCCTCTCCAGTCACATGGCGTGCTCAGAAAAAAGTGAGGACCAATGTGCCAAGGAGCGGAAGTACATCTGAGCTCATGCGTCTTGTCGGAAGCACAGGGCAGACAATATCAGAGCCCCCCCTGCCGTCTCCGTCAAAAACCAATGCAAAGTGGTCGCGGGGCGCCCGCGCATGATCCAGATTTTGCCACACAGTGTGCTGTGCATGGCGTGCTGACAGAGATGGTGGGTCTGCAACGAGCGGACATTTTGAGGGCACCGCCGCTGTCACTGTCAAACACGATCGACCCACGAACCCGGAAAGGAATACATAGAAGATGTAAGGCATGTTTTCAAAGAAATTTGATTGGGTGACGGGCAAATTCAATGCTGAGTGCGTCGACCTTGATGTAGTCCTCATGCTAGAAATCCGACTGGGCGACCTGGACACGTGAAAACAAGCGTTTCGCTCAACACGTCCTCATGCTAGACATCCGCCTGGGCGAACTGGACACGTGAAACCAAGCGTCTCGCTCGAGACATCCTAAACACATCTTCATGTTAGACGTCCGCCTGGGTAACCTGGGCACGTGAAAACAAGCGTTCCGCTCGAGAGGTTTCCAACACCTCTTCATGCTAGACATCCGCCTTGGCGACCTGGACACGTGAAAACAAGCGTTCCGCTTAAGATATTCTCAACGCATCCTCCTGCTAGGCGTCCGCCTGGGCGACCTGGGCACGTGCAAACAAACGTCTCGATCGAGACGTCCTCAACAAATCCTCATGCTAGACATCCGCCTGGGCGACCTGGACGCGTGAAAACAAACGTCTCGCTCGAGACATCCTCAACAGATCCTCATGCTAATCATCTGCCCGGACAACCTGGACGCGTGAAACCAAGAGTCTCGCTCGCGACATCCTCAAGACCTGGGCACGTGAAAACAAGCATTTCACTTGAGAGAGCCTGTGAATTCTGGTCCCCAGGAGAGGGCAATCCACAGCACAAAACAAGCGTCTCGCTCGAGACATCCTCAACAGCTTCTGCAACGCAAGCGTTTCGCTCGGGACACCCTCAAATTGTGATGCGCCGGCTCCTCCACTCGACCTGGATATTTTTATCGCAGATGGCACCCGCTGGCCCCGCAGCCGTCGATTCCGGGGGTAAAAACAGCCACAAGAGAACCCCTGGGCCGACGCCCTTTCCGGGGAACGCAATCTGCAAAGTGCCCACGGGGCGTCCGCGCAGGGCGCTGATTTTTTCCGCGGCGCGTAGGGTAACTACATGGTGTTCGGGGCAGGGATGGCAGGGCTGCGCAGTCCGGACCGTATGAGAGCACCCCCGCCGTCCCCGCCAAAGACCAGCGCAGAGCGATCGCGAATTCTAATTCGCTGGCCCTACCCTGACTCCGGATCCGCCCTACTTTGGCTTTTTTCCCAACTTAAAATTGCGTCGGAAATCCACTTAGAAGAGGCCGAAAAAGTAGGGCGGAAATTGCTGCACCCAACATAAAATAGGGCGGAAATCCACAGAAACAGCAACAGAAAAGTAGGGCGGAAATTGCCATCAGCGGGGCTTGAAAAGTAAGGCGGAAATTCCAAGCCCTACTTACGAATTTCCCCAAAGTAGGGCGGATCCGGAGTCAGGGTACTCGACCTCGATATTTATCGCAGATTACATTCGCTGGCCCCGCGGCCGTCGGTTCCAGGGATGGGCAGCTGGGGGGGAACACTGGGCCGACGCCCTTTCCGGGGAACGCAATGCCAGGTGCCCACGGGGCGCCGGCGCAAGGCTTTGACCTTCCGCAGCGTGTACGGCACATGGTGTTCGGGGCAGGGATGGTAGGCTTGTGGAGGACGGTCGATGGAGAGGAAGCACGCTGCCAAATAATTTCCAGATGTCTAGACAATGTTTCAAACATGTTTCAATTATCTTAAAAACCGGTTTAAAACATGTTTAGAACAGGTTTTACACATTTTAAGCACATGTTTAGTTCAATGATCGGATGGTTAGAGTGTCCATTGTCATGGCATCCGCAAGTATGGTACGTGGTGTCCTGGCAGGGATGGTAGGGCTGCGCAGACCGGACAGTATGAGGGCACCCCTGCCGTCCCCGTCCAAAAACCGATGCAAAGGGATCGCGGGGCGTCCGCGCGTGACCTAGATGTTGGTGCAGTGTGCGCTTCGTGTCGTTTTTTGCCATGGGTGGTGGGGGGGGGGGCCTCATTGGCCCGGGCTTGTCGCCGGTCGGGTGGGAGAGGGGCGTATACGAATTAAGAGCAGTAAAGAACAGTGATACCCCCCCCCCGAGCAGGGGAAGGAGGGGCTCTGGAAGAGGGAAGAGCACAATTCGTCATACCACCTTCGCTCAGCGCCCTTGTGCATTCGCCACCCGGTGGCGGGCGGATGATCTCCCAGGTCATCGTGACCAACCTTTCTGGAACGCCCCACCTCCATCGCCCGTCGATCCTCGTTGCTTCGGGATCCCCTGTCGTCGTGGATGCTCCTTGCGGGGGCGGCGCGAGGATTGCCGCGCATCGCGCTCCTCGCGGCGCGCGGGGGGGCCAGGTCGGCCGCCCCCCCCCCTCCCCGCGCAGCGCTGGAGGTCTGCGAGCAGCGGCGCCTCCCAGGCTTCGGCGACCGCCTCGAGTTCGGCGAGTTCTTCCCGCCGAGCTCCCCGGTGGAACCCCGCAAGAAAGAGAAGGCGAGCACCCTCGGGCGACGCTGGCGGTACACCTACACCGATCTTGGCCAGGCCTGTTCGGGACGACGATGAGGGCGAATAGCCCAGGGGAGCACAAGACATGCATCAAAGGGCGCCAGTGGTCCATACCTTCGGCGAGGCTCCCGAGCGAATGCGTGTCATGCCCGCCCCTGGGCCATTCGTTCCCATCGTCGCCTCCGACCTATCCTGGGCCCAGCATCGGGTGCGCACGCCTTCGGGAGGGCATGCGCACCGATGCTGGGCCCAGGGTGGGTCTGGCCAGGACCGGCGCGGGCGCAGTGCACGGCTGGCGTCCTCCCGCGCCCCGCGTGTCCACCCTGGCTGTCGGGTCAAAAGCAAAAGCCCAGGGAGGCCCCTCCAGACCGCGGCAGGTATTGGGACACGGTGTTGTTTCCCCACCTGACGAGCTGGGGCTGATAGATCTGAAGAACAGGCGCCCCTGGCCAATCCCACCTTGCATACCGCGGCCGCTAGACCCCAAGTTGTCCCGAGTGTTCCGAGTATCCCGGGTGTCCCGCCTCGCGCCTGGCCAACCCCCCCCTTCATACCGCGGCCGCCAGACCCCAAATTGTCCCGATGATCCTGCCTCGCGCCCTCGACGAACACGACAGAACACACTATAAGAGAACATAGCCGAGCACAACAGAACACACCTTCGCATAACATATCATTTCGTGGCATCGAATCACAGAACATATCATCATACGACAGCAGAGCATAGCGACGACGAGCACGACAGAGAACACCATGACACAACATGACATGACAGAACATAACACGAGCATGAAATAACATGACATAATATAACACAGCAATGTCATTACAACATAGAGGATATCATCACATGTCATACAGAAGATTGCATGACACAACATAAATTACCATAGCCGAACATAATATATGTAACGCACCTTGGCAGAACATAGCATACCATGTCACAGCATCTCAGAATTTATCATGACACGACAGCAGAGCATAGCCTCGCATACTAGCAAAGCAGGTCATACTATACTATACAGAGCCTAGCCACCAACAAACATAACATCACATAACACACCAGAGCAGATAATGGCAGAACAGAAGGCGACATAACCCATTAGAAGAGAACATAACCGAGCACACCATAACTCACCTTGACAGAACATATCCGATCATGTCATCGAATCACATAACATATCATAGCATCATGGCAGAGCATAGCGACGACAAACACGACAGAACACAACATGACACAACAGCTCATGACATAACAGAACACGCATGACAGAACATTGCAACTTAACACAGCAATGTCATGGCAATATAGAGCATAGCATGATACCAGCGAAAAAAAAACATCATATTCTTTCAGGGCTGTAGGGCTATAGGGCTACAGGGCTATATGGGCTCTTGGGCGCTATATGGGCTATATGGCTATATGGGTTATAGGACTATAGGGCTATAGGGCTATAGGGCGATAGGGCTATAGGTCTATAGGGCTACAGGGCACCGGGCACCCGGGCACCCGGCACCCGGCACCCGGGCACCCACCCGGGCACCGGGCACCCGTCACCCGGGCACCCGGGCACCCGGGCATCCGGGCACCCGGGCCTGGCCACCGAATCGACGGCGAACCCGGGCACCTGGGCACCCGGGCACTCGGGCACCCGGGCCCGGCCACCGAATCGGCGGCGAACCCGGGCACGCGGGCACCAGGGCACCCGGGCCCGGCCACCGAATCGCCGGCACACCTCACCTACCCTTAAATCCGCTAGGACCCCTACAGAGGCAAGCTCTGATTGGGGAATAACATCACATACATTTTCAGAGCAGAACATGGCATAACAGATGACGACATAACACAACATAACATAACATCACCGAACATAGCATTACACACCTTGAGAGAACATGGCATATAATGTCACAGCATCACAGAACATTCATAACACGACACAAGAGCATAGCGACACGTACTAGCAGAGCCCATCATGATATACTATACGGAGCCGAGCCGCCAACAAACACAGCATACTATAACATAACTGAGCATCGCATAAAACACCTTGATAATAATGGTAAGCGGAGCTGTCAACATCATCACGGAACATGTTAGATGATCCGTAAGGGCTTCGCTCCTTGCCGCCGGCCCCCTCTCTCGGATAATGGGCACTGCAAGAGCGAAAGCATGAGGCCTTGGCGCCGCCGTGAAGCAGCGTCGGGACTTCACGCGAAGACGATGAGTAACCGGCAAGACAAATTGAGATTCTGATGATATTGTTGAAATCGGTGTTGTATTCCGAGCTTGCTTGCCGATTCTGTGCAACAAACTTTTCTACAAAGGATTGAAATTTGCAAATCCCATGCGCTCTTGACCCTGACCCCACCGATCTGCGTGAGGGGTGCCTCCGAATTTCAAGACATGTGGCAAATCCCATGTGCTTTTCGACCCTGATCCCGCCGATCTACGTGAGGGGTGCCACCGAGTTTCAGAAATGTGGCAAATCCTTTTTGTTTTTGGACCCTGACCCTGCCAATCTGCATGAGGACTGCCACCGAATTTCTAGACATGTGTCAAATCCTTTGTGTTCTTGGACCCTGACCCCGCCGATCTGCGTGAGGGGTGCTACCGAATTTCTAGACATGTGGCGAATCCCATTGGTTTTTCGACCCTGACCCCGCCGATCTGCTTGAGGGGTGCCGCCGAATTTCAGAAATATAGCAAATCCCATTGGTTTTTCGACTCTGACCCTACCGATCTGCGTGAGGGGTGCTACGTGGCAAATCCTTTGTGCTTTTTTATCCTGCCGATCTGCATGAGGACTGCCACCGGATTTTTAGACATGTGGCAAATCCCATTGGTTTTTCGACCTTGACCCCGCCGATCTGCGCGTGAGGGGTGCTACCGAATTTTTAGACATGTGGCAAACCCCATGGGTTTTTCGACCCTGATCCCGCCGATCTACGTGAGAGGTGCTGCCGAATGTCAGAAATGTGGCAAATCTCATGTGCTTTTGGACCCTGACCCTGCCGATCTGCGTGAGAGGCGCCGCCGAATTTCAGACATGTGGCAAATCCCATGTGTTTTTAGACGCTGACCCTGCTTATCTGCATGAGAGGTGCCGCCGAATTTCAGCAATGTAGCAAATCCCGTAGGTTTTTGGACCTTGACCCCGCCGATCTGCGGGAGAGGCGCCGCCGAATTTCAGAAATGTGGCACATCCAGTGTGTTTTTAGACCCTGACCCTGCTTATCTGCGCGAGAGGTGCCGCCGGATTTCAGATATGTGGCAAATCCCGCAGGTTTTTGGACCCTGACCCCGCCGATCTGCGTAAGGATTGCCACCGAATTTCAGAAATGTTGCAAATCCCATGGGTTTCGGACCCTGACCCCGCCGATCTGCGTGAGGGGTGCCGATTTCGCCCCCCCCCAGAAATTCTGAGACCCCTCCCGGGAGGTGCTAACCAGGGCGGTTTGCGGCTCGCCCCCCTTGCTCGGTCTACAACAAGGAACAGTAAGCAACAATAAGCAGAATTGTAACAGTGGAAACTGGAACTGGCGCAGGGAACAGCAAACCCGGGTCCTACAGCCTGGTGGCCCCACAAGGGGGCCGGCGGATATTGTGCCGATTTGTCAACACCATCACGGAGCAGAGCACATTAGAACATAGTTTGTCAGACCAGATCATGCCATAGCATCGTGCCACAGAGCATACCATTCCATAACATCCCAAAACATATGTTGACAAAGATGAGCATTACATAACATACGCAATCAGACGAGAAACCTATAAGTGAAGAGGAACATCATAACAGCCGACGCATCTAACGTCACAGGCGTCACGACGTCACACCGTCTCGTCGAAAACACAACCGGACATACTGAAGGATAACATGAAAGAGCGTGACTACATGGAACACGGTTGACCCGTTGCTGAATCCAGAAACGGTAGTTGCGCAGTGGTGGAGAGGAATACCACGACAGAACAGGACAGCAAACCATATTGATATAGCATATCATACTATACTATACAGAGCTGAGCCGTCAACAGCATCACGGAACAGAGCATAGTATACCATGAATTGACAGAACATAGCATGTCCTAACATGGTCCCGCAGAGTAGAGCGTGACATAACATACCAACGCTTCGTATGGCAGAAGCGAGCATGACAGAGCATACTATAACGGAAGAGATAGCGGAAGGGCAGGAGGATATCATCAGAGTGAGAGGGCCGAACGGTCATTCATTGTCCTTGGGTGCGTGGCTGAAGTGGGGATCCGTGGTGAAGATTCTGCTTGTTGCGTTGTTGCGTTCTTGTTGTTTGTTGTCGTCGTCTCACCCGCGACCCACCCGCGACCCACCCCGCGACCCACCCCGCGACCCACCCCGCGACTCATCCGCGACCCGCCCGCGACCCACCCTGCGACCCATGCGCGACCCACTTGCGACCCACCCGCGACCCACCCCGCGAACCACCCGCGACCCACCCCGCGAGCCACCCGCGACCCACCCCGCGACCCATGCGCAACCCACCCGTGACCCACCCGCGACCCACTTGCGACCATCCCGCGACCCACCCCGCGACCCACCCGCGACACATTTGCGACCCACCCGCGATCTACCCACATTGGTTACATGAAAAAATCGGTGCCTGCGGCGGGCTCATTGCATAATTTGTGAAACTTTCGCGCCCGCGGCGGGCTTCTCCAGAGTCTTGCAGACTGCCGACGTCCCCACCGCCCCCTCACTCTTATCCGCATCTGCGGGGTGCTACGTAACATAACGTACCTTACGTACATGTTGTCAGCTTGGCCACAGGAGCCAACACTCACAGCAAGGAGCGATTCGACGATGTATCTGACGCGACAAGCTTCACGACGTCACGCCGGCTCGTCGATTTCAGAACATCACCGAACACTGTGCCACATATTACTTTGGCGCAGAATCCTACCACACACACACATACACACTTTTGCGTCGGCGGCTGGGCAGAGGGAC